TAGCTCCATCTTAATATGAATGTTGTAATTTTAAATAATCTATTCCATAACGTAAATTTCCTAGATACCCAACATCGTGTTCAGAGGAAATCACAAAAATACTTTCCAATTGACAATGATCAAACAAAAAAAATATCTGCAATTTCCTTTAAGTGTATTAACCACAAATCTTATGCAACATAAATTACAAATTCAGTGAACAAAAATCTAGCCTATCCAACCGTGCATCAACAACAAGAAGTTAAAATAAATAAATAGGATATACTCACCATTTAGAAAGCCAGTTAGATTGTCTTGCGCACTGCTGATACACTACATCAGTTCCTTGTGATGTAGAACAAACAAGTCTTTGAAACTTGGATGATAACTCTTGATAAGGTTCAGTTTCAGATGGCTTCACGTGTCTAACAGCAGTTTCTAAATGCAACATATTTATTTTTGAAGCCTCAAGGTTCTCCTAAAAATAAAAGTAAGATATACATTAAAATAATGAATGAATCTTTAAAATTGAAGTTCGAAAGACGGGGAAGAACAAGAACTCAATAAACCTCAAGGGCTAATAAAGCTGCTTCTCTACAAATTAATGATATGTCAGCCCCTGAACAGCCTTGAGTAAGAGAAGCTAACTTCCTTGTACTGACATCTCGGCTGCACGGAACTCTGCACAAATGGATACGAAATATCTCTTCTCGTTCAGATTCATTTGGGGGCCCAACATATAGCAGCCGATCAAAACGTCCTATTCAAAGGTACAATCAGCTAGATTAATACAATCATTTGCTTATTAAAAACCAGAAGCTGGGCACAATGCATTTGTTCCGGTGCATGTGTTGTATTAGTAAATGGGAGGTGCATGAGTTTAGAAATGTTCTTATATGGGGTAATACCTGGCCTAAGAAGGGCTGGATCAATCTTATCTGGCCGATTGGTAGCAGCAATGACAGTAACACCAACTCTCTGATGTAAACCTAAATTTTAGAAAGAAAACACAAATGATTAGAATAAAAGGCTAAGCATATCTCTAAAAACATTAAACTCCTAATCTCTGTTTCTCTGTGATGAAAACTCATCAGTATTATATAGTATACTGTATAGCTAGTAAAAGAACCAGAAAATATTGAAGATTGAATTAAACAAATGTTCAACTGACCATCCAATTCAACAAGAAGTTGACTCATAACTCTATCAGAGACAGAAACTCCATCACTTTCCTTCCCACGAATGACAGCAAGACCATCAATTTCATCAAAAAATATTATTGATGGTGCATTAGCTCTTGCCTTAGCAAATAGAGATTTAACAGCCTTCTCAGATTCACCAACCCATTTACTGAAAAGTTCTGGGCCTTTTACTGCAAGGAAATTTAGTCCTGCTTCAGAAGCTACAGCACGTGCCATGAGGGTTTTGCTGCATCCAGGAGGACCAAACATTAACACTCCTGTTGGAGGTCGAGTCCCTATTCGCTTGAATGCATCTTGATGTTTTTGAGGCCATTCTACTGCTTCCATTAATTGAATCTTAACCTCCCTTTGTCCACCAATATCTTCCCATTTTACCTTTGGTACCTCAAGTATGACCTAGAATGAAGTGGTCTTTAGTGAGATGTTTGACAAACATATATGATTTGATAAGAAATTAACTTTCCATAAAGAAGTGAAAAGAACAAACAAGTTTACAGAACACTCCAAATCTAACGAGAGAGATGAAGCACTTAATTGATCCAATTTCCATGCCGACACCAGTAGAGCCTAAATTCACTAAAGCAACGTAATGAATCAGAATGTTAGATAAAACAATAGGTAGACAAATGAGCAATTTCAGCTAGAGAATTTGTTTATCTCAAGCTGCAACTTTAAAGATAAACCCCGGTCATAAAGAAATCGTTACAAAACTTGGCTCCTCAATTTTATGATTATTTTTGCTACTTGGAAGGGGTGGGCCAAGTTAATTATAAAATAGAACTACCACAAGGGATCAGGGTTCAACTAGCTTTTCATGCATTACAATTGTGACAATTTATGGGGCTTCACTACCAACTAGAAGACAATGAGAACCAAAAGTACACCCATGCATAATTATTAATTAAGTGCACTAAACACAAGGTCCAATGTAGAGTCTTTCATCTTCCTCCTTGAGTACTTGCTATTAGTTGCTTATGCAAGAGTTCAAGCAATAAAAACTTCACCTCCATACCTTATTAGAAGAAAAAATTCTCGCAAGAGCAAAGTAATTTCCCACTTCATTGGTTAAAGAATCTCCATAATCAATCCCAAAGTGTCTACTACAGGAAAGAGGAAAGCCTTCTAAATTGCTCCCTTCTACAGAAGCAAGTGCTACCTCCAATGGAAAAAAAAATGATAATAAGAAAATATTGCTTTTCCAGTGTTTATGCTAGTACTACTAATTATTAACCTAAGAAAATTTTTGTCATGGTTTTAAATTTTAATTCCATTATACAGAAAATAAGAGGAAGAATTTTACCGAGACAATAGCTCCTTGGGTGAAGCTAGAAGCAACCATAGAAGATTCAGAAAGCCAAACTTTACAACCACCAGATTGGAYTGGAGCATTAGTAACTCTCCCAATGAACGCRGATTTACCGATCAAAGAAGGATATTTACTTGAAGCTTCTTCARTGGAGGAAACAAAATCATCTTCACCAACTTSAGAGGCAKGAGGTATCGCCAACCGTGGYARAGGTGATTGAGATTTGTTCGAGTTAGACAATCTAGAGAGCGTCTTTGAGTTCTTCTTTCCCTTTGAAGGCATATCTGTGCGAGGATGAACGTTCTTAGGAACCCTTTAGAGAAATTTCTTTATCATGGTATTGGATAATGGGCGGAGAATCCCGACTATAACACCTTGAAAGGGCATATTTCCTTTAGGGGACTATGAACGGAAGTATTGTAGTTGTATTGTAGTTGTATTGTGCCCATGCCAATCACTTAGTCCATTGCGTAGGCTTTCAACATGCATAGCAATACAAGTAGATCTCTGATAGGCCCTTTATCATTAAGCAATATGTAAGGAGGAAGGGCAAGAAGGTAAAAGAATAGATTCTTGTKGGCCCGAGTTAGTTAGTTGGTAATTTGGTCACTTAAAGGGGTATAGGGTGGTTATATGAGCTG